GGAGGATTTCTCCCGCTCATGAGAATCCTTGAATTCCTCAAGAATAATTTTCTCTCGTGAGATTAGTTTATTCCCTCATTCTCCCAAGTGTCAACCCAATCCCCTTGGGAGATTTTTATCTTGTAAAAGGGGATTTCTAAGTTGTTTTGAGTTAGAATCATGAGAAATAATTAAAATGAAGGATTTGAATTTAATTTAAGAGATTAAATACAACTTTAAGTTAGGTTCAATGATTACACATGTACAGTGGTTACAAGAGATCTCTTTCTCAATGTTATTCCAAAATATTTGGGCAAATGGCTTCATCAATCAATTAAGCCCCACAATAATGATAAATGTTTAAAAGAGTCAAATAATCTCAAGATTCATTATAAAGACTTTGATAAAATTCGAGCTATCTTTATAGATCTATATTCTTTTACAAAATTTAGCTGGACACATCCAACAATTAGAGAACCACAAAGTCTTCAATCATTTGTTAAACTAATCATACTCTACTAAAAATCAATATTTTTCTAAATTAAACGAGTTTGCCTTCAAATCAAGAACTATTTCAAAGAGATTGAATTAGGTAGATGTTCTTTTGTAAATAAAAAAAAAGACTCATAATTAATACTATATTCTTTATTAAATTATAAATAAATTGTTTTATAATTGATTTTGTGTTATTTACTTTTTAGCTGTAAATTTTTTTCATTATAAAACTCTAAGCCATAAGTTTTTCTTTTCCAAAAAAGTCTAATGTTGGTTATGTTTTTTTTAGTTTAAAAAATGTCAGTTATTTAGAACAATAAAAATGGTTTTGGATTATTTTGTAATAAACTATATATTTAAAACCAAAATATAATATTTGAAAAAGTTCAGAACTAAATTAATAATTTGATATAATTTATGTAATAAATAAAATCTTAAAATACTAAAATTTCCCATGTAGTACCTTTAAAAATGTTAAAAATTCCTACTAAACTATTTTTAAGTTCAAAATTTTCTTTGTACTTTAAATATAATCAAAGTTCCCTCTCTCTTTTAGATTCAACTACTATTGTTTTGGAGCTAGTTGAGGTGGCAGGTGATGTGTCAAGTGACATATCATCTTGTTCAAAATTGTCGACATGGATGCCAAATCAGCAACACATCAACACCTACTTTAACAAATGTTTTTCTTTCTTTCCTTTATCCATCATTATCTTCTCCAATCTTCTTTGTCCCTAGCACTTCTTAAAACCAAGAACTCTTAGCTGCTACCACCATAACCCTTTTCTTCTCTGCGCGTGACGTGGGAGGGACTTAGAAGGATCATAATACTCCCATAACCTCACACAATGTTACAACCAAATAACTTAACCACCTAATTTACCCTCCCTACTTGAATCATAGTCAGTATACTGAAAGTTTATTAAAGTAACTAGGAAATAAAAAGAATAAGAAAGACGAATTGACTTACTCCATAAATTTATCCTAATTATGTGGCTTAACAGGGTGTCTGAACATCCTCGCTTGAAGACTCTAGAAGAACACTCAAAGAAAATTTCAAAGAAATCAAAAGCTTTAAATTTTATTAATTTGAAGTTGTGTTTACAACCTAAGAATTGAAGCTTTCTACATATTCCTACTTGAACTCTTAAACAAAATTAGACTAGGTCTCTTATTGGAAATTAATTAAATAATAGAATCCTAAACTAAAATTTAAAATAAAATGATAAAATATTACTAATTTAATGGAATTATAATTCCTTCTTACTTGGCCGACATCCTTTGCTCCTTTTATCCTTGATGTTGATTCCAATCTGGTGTAGAATTCTTAAAGATTTGTTGTGTAGGAGCTAGACGAAAATAAGGAAAGGAAATGAGAATCCTCTTTTGAATTTGCTTGTTGTCCAGGTTGTACACATGTGCCAGATTGCTGCTTACGTGTATCTAGCGTGCAGAAGCTTTCTCAAGTGTGCACAGACCCTACATATGTGCGATAGGAGATGCCTGCACATGCACTGCCTCTACATAGCCCATCATGTGAGCGCCCTTGTGTGCTTACGATATCTATGACATCCCAAATACCTATAATAAAGGGAGCTAATCTCTTAAGTAGTTACAAGTGCACAAAAGAAAAACAAAAATGACATTGAAGCGGAAATAGAAAATCCCTTACAAACAAGCTAAGGTTTAATTTTTACATAAAGGCCATAAAGTGGCAATTCTAAGTATAAAATAGTAAGTAAAGTCGTTACAAAATTTTACATCAGAGTACGGAATAACTATTATACTCGAATTATGTTCTAGAGAATTACCAAGGATTTATAAATAGGCTTAGTCAAACTTCAAGGGGTGGCTTAAGGAGCAAACCCTTAATTTTCTCAATACTTAGGGGCCACGGATTAAGAGTGAGTTTAACGTAAACTCAGTGAGGAAAACAATATTTAAAATCACACGACAAAGGTTTAAAAAGTAAATAACATAAGCAATAATTTGTACACACCTCTTACCTTGGAGAATCGTTGCTAGATGGGTCATTTAAACATTTAGAAAACCCATGTATTTATCAAGAAATCTAGTGGAACAATTACACAATCATACTAAGAACACCATTACTCAACTTTTATATAGGTATGTTAAGTTATATAAAATCAACCCGTGGTATACTCAATAGACAAAAGAATTAATCATACAAACCATTAGAGAGATACCAATAACACAAATAGCACATGTTGCAAATAAATGAACCATCATGCAAATCATGACTAGTATTTTAAACAACTTCTATGTTTATTATATATTTTATTGACATTTGTGTGAAGCTACTACAACATATATCCACTAAGGGTAGAAGGGATCCTCGGCTACCACTGTAAATCACCGACCCATTCTTGGGTCATTCTCATTTCATTTCCCTATCTAAACTATAACCACGGTCGTATTTCACCACTGTGGCCCTACATGTACCTAACGCGTATCCGCTCTCATCAAAGGGACCGTCGATTATCAAAAAGAGCAGTTCACCAACACTTTTTCAGATGAGGGAGAAATAGAAACCCCTTAGAGATAACAGTCGAATGGATTTCTCTATTCTTTTCACTTGTTTATGTCATGCTCACAACAATTTTATATTATTTCATATGTATACGCAATGCCATTATTTTTGAAACCATCGGGATTCCATAATTTATCCGGCCTGTAGGCCCCTTTTTCATATATCCGGCCTGAAGGCTCTTTACTTAGGCTCAGCTTTCGAGTCATTCTCTTGAGGCAATACCCACTAGGACAACCTTCTTCATCATTTACCAAGGTAAAGCGAAGGGCCAAACCCATATGCAAATTTTAAATCAATGTCTTCCCGCATCATGCAAAATAAATCAAGGTTCGGGCAGTGATCAAACATCAATTAGACTTATGCATCAATTATGGGGTTCATTGATGTCATATACATAAACAAGCAGCTATCCTAGCAGGATTATACGCATTGTCGTCGCATGGTACTATCATCAACATCATACACTATACTGCAAATGATCATAGTACGGTGAGTTTTACCTTTGAAACTCGGCGGGGCTCATTGACATTTGGGCCATAGGCCCTATAGACTCGGATTTGACCATTTGGGTTGTTCCTCGAAATCGAGGCTCCTTAAAATAACCTTATTTATTATTACTAATAGTAAGACAAAGGGTTTAAACCCACATGTATACTAAAATATTTTTATTATGACTAATTATCAAAACAAATTGTCAAATAGTTTCTCCTTAAGCTAATGATCCTCCATTTTTGAAAACTTCATTAGATCCATCTCATCCCCACTCGCTTCTTCCTTAAATTATCCACCTACTTTATGATATGTTTATACATACATACACGCTACCATATAGATTGGTTACTTGCCCACAAGTTCAAAAACACTTTGATTACACATAATTTTTTTTAAAAAAGTGGTTTAAAGAGAATTTTAGATATTTTTATATAATACATAAATTTTTTTAGTATTTTAGACATAAATATAAATAAAATTAAAATCTAATGACGATACATAGCCGTTGATCGAAGTGATGGGGAAATCGTGGGACCGCTTCCCCTCTCTACTTTTCGAGAACCAAATTAATTGATTTCCCTCCTCCCTCCATAAAATTTCAGGTTCCGCGCCATTAATCATTGTCTCCTCATGTCTACTACATTTCTCTCTCGCACGCCCGCCGGAGCAAATCCATTCATCAAAACTCCATAAGGTTCTTACCGCTTTCTTTTGCAGCTGTTTTCCCAATTTTCCGGCTACCTCCAATTGTTTGTCCTTTTAGCCTCTAAGACTATTCTGGATTTTCTTTCTTGTACAAGGTTTTTAGATTGATATGTTTTTGTGAGCAGGAGAAGATTTATTTAAACTCCGTCATTATTCTCCCCGGCAATGGATAATGGAAGGCATATGAGGCAAGATTTTGATTATCTATAAAGTCTATCATCCTGTTCTTTTGCAAGTTTTGATTGGTTGGTTTTGTGATTGACATTCGCAGATGCAACCAGCGCAAAGGAGATGACAAACTTCCTAAAGTAAATTGGTCGGAACATGCCAAAGTTCATGATAACTTTTTATGCATGAGTAGGGTTTTGAGTTCAAATTTCCTTTTCTCGTTGGAAAAACAAAAGCCTTCTACAGAAGGAAGAACGGGTGCCAGGTGCTTCACTATTTTACTTATTCAGTAGAATACATAATTTTAGGTAACGTACTGTTTTACTGCGCTAGAAATAAAATGAAATTAGAGCAATGAACTCGATAGAAATATATCTAATTGATGGTTCCGTATTTTGGTTGTTGGTGAAATGCAGTTTGTTTGGTTTACGGAAAGTAATGTTGATGATATTAAGTTGGTTGAGGAGTTCTATGATTTCACTAATTCTATTTTGCGGTCTTTTGTTTCTCTCAATTGGCTTTATTATTTATGATTAAAAAACATGATATCATGTAAGAAATATCAATCTTCTTCTTACCTTTGACAAGTATCCTTATTGACCGATTGTTTATGTTGAACAAATTATTGCATGATTTACCTGA